GCCAATAGGTACAGGAAAAGATGTTCAAATCAAGCGTTTGTGGTATGTGGAGAAAAGGAAGCCCTGGTGCACTGTTGGTGGGAATGTAAACTGGTGCAGCCACTATGGAAAACAGAATGGAGGACCCTCAAAAAACTGAAAATAGAACTACCATATGATCCAGCTATCCCACTTCCAGGAATATATGTGAAGAAAAAAAAAACACTATGTTAAAGAGATATCTGCCCCTCCATGTTCATTGCGGCATTATTTACAATAGCCAAGACATGGAAACAACCCAAGTGTTCATCTATGGATGAATGGATAAAGATGTGAGATGTATATATATATATATATGCACACACACACACGATGGAATATTATTCAGCCATAAAAAAGAAGGAAATCTTGCCATTTGCAACAATATGGATGGACTTTGAGGGCATTATGCTAAGTGAAATAAGTCAGACAAAGACAAATACTGTATAATCTCATGTTTATGTGGAATCTGAAAAACCAAAAAACAAACAAACTGAACTCACAGATACAGAGAATAGATTGGTAGCTGCCAGAGGTGGAGAGGGGGGGTGGACAGAATGGGTGAAGGGGGTCAAAAGGTATAAACTTCCAATAATAATACTGTATTGTATATTTGAAAGTTGCTAAGACAGTAAATCTTAAAATTTCTCATCACAAGAAAAAAAAAATTTGTAGCTATATGTGGTGACGGATGTTAAATAGGTTTATCGTGGTGATCATTTAGTAATATACACAAATATCGAATCCTTACGTTGTATACCCGGAACCAGTGTTGTATGTCAGTTATATCTCAATGAAAAAAGATGATGGACAAAGTTCTAAGGTGGAATTGCACTATCCCAATAGTTGTTGGATATATGTACATACAGATTGTTTCCCAGATAAGATCTTAAATTGTGCTTTCCTTGCTAATTGTTTTATGGTTCGACTGTAAGTCCTCGACACTTGAAGACTCTGCACATTCCACTGACTCTTCATGGGTTCTTCTGGCTGGAATTCAGGTAGGTAAGTAAACACCTGTTATATGGGATCCCCCCGAAGCCTTGAACCACGGTCGGCAGCAGTGGGAAGGAGTATAGGACCGAGTGAACTTAGGAAGAACAGAGGAAGGTTGGAAAACTCGAAGGCAGGTCTGGAGCAAATTTAAGTGGTAAAGGAAGATTCAGCATCTGTCTGGATGGCGGACTCCACCTCTGTCGTGGAGGAAGGTGAATCAGAGGACAAGACGCCAAGGGCTATGGAGAAACGGACTTCACCCCAGGCTCAGCGTGTCTTTAGAAAACATCACAGGAGAGGGAAGCAAATATGTACCAAATATAAGACGATAAAATAACATGCAGATGGTGTTACTATCTTCAAACTGCGAGCATCTGCAATTGGAAAAAGCACAGTGTGAAAGTGAAGGTCAAAGCTTTAGCAGAAACTTAAGGAATAATGGAGTTGTATGGAAAAATAATACGAAACTTCCTAGGAAATGAGCTGTAAGAGGGAATTGACTGCATTTGGTAAAACTTCAAAAAAACCTTAATTAGTTGATAACTCTGCTGGGGAAAAACAAAAAGAAGAAACAACAGCTCTTTTTTTTTTAATTAATTAATTTATTTTTTATTGCAGTAACATTGGTTTATAACATTGTATAAATTTCAGGTGTACATCATTATACTTCTATTTCT